AGGGAGAGAGAGGGAGAGAGAGAGGGAGACGTACAAACACGGCTGCGCCAGAGCCGGACACTGCATGTATGTATGTATGTATGTATGTATGTATGTATGTATGTATGTGTGTATGTGTGTGTGTGTGTTTGTGTACGTATGTATGTGTGCGTATGCATATCTGCATATGTTTATACCCATATGAACCGAAACCCTAATCCCCAAATCATAAAGAATCCTTAACCCTACATCTTAAACCCAAAAAAATTTTTAAAAAAAACTAAACCCTAAACCGTGGCTCCGACGGACTCCTTCGGGACGAGTGGCTCGAGCTGCCGCTCCGAAGCTCGCCGAGCTCGGCGTGGTCTACCGACGAGGGATCTCAGAAGGGTCTCAGAAAGGTTGCGACAAAAGCTTGGTGTTTAGGGTTTAGGGTTTAGGGTTTAGGGTTTAGGGTTTAGGGTTTAGGGTTTAGGGTTTAGGGTTTAGTTTAGGTTGATTCATGAAACTAGGGGATGCTTGGGGGCTTCAGGTTTAAGGTTGCATGCCTACAGTACTGCAGGTCTCAGAAGGGTAGTTACAAGAGGTTTAGGGGTTAGGGTTTAGGGTTTAGGGTTTAGGGTTTAGGTTTAGATCAAGGGAAATTGAATGTTTGTTGAAGTTTGAACCCTAAGGGCTCTAGAGGGGCTCTATACAGATTCTCGACTGGCGCCATGAGGGTTCTAGAGAGGTTTGCAGTAGGGTTCGTGAACACCATGTAGAAAAGCACATACCACCAAAAAAAGATCAGCCCCACAGCTCCGAAATGATGTGGGCGTACACCCCACGACAGTGCATCTAAATCACGGACCTAAATAGCACATTTCCCAAAACCCATAAACCTAAACCCCCCACACCCTAAACCCTAAACCCCACACCCCACACCCTAAACCCATAAACCTAAACTCCTACACCCCTAAGGGTTTGGGATGGTGGTGCAGGCTTTGAGGAAAGAGATGGACTCCCTGGATTGCAGCCTGAGGATGCACTTGCGGATCTTATGACGTAGAAGCCTGTAGGATTTGGACTCCTGGACTTCAAACCCTACACCCTAAACCCTTAACCCTAAACCCTAAACCCTAAACCCCATAGGATTTCCTATGAGGTGGCGAGTGGCCGTAGGATGGGCTCACGGCAGGAGGGACCAAAGCGATCGTCACCTCGCGAGCCGAGGGGCAGACAGGAGAGTTCAGAAAGAAAGTGAGCCGATATATGTGTGTATATATATATATATGTATGTATGTATGTATGTATGTATGTATGTATGTATATATACACATATATATATATATACATATATACATACATATATATATGGAGAGAGATATAGATAGGTTCCGAATAGAAGCCTCTTAGTTTAACAACAAGCCGAAAAGGGACCCCAAATCTTTAGCTGAGGTTGATAGGTTTTCAGTTTCGGGTCTTTAGGAAGGTTTCAAGTCTAGGAACTGAAAGCCTTGAATCTGGAGCTGATTCCCAAACCTCCCAAACCCGACTCGTGCAGAAGTCCAGAAACCGGCCTGATCCAGAAACCTATCCCTAACCCTTAGAGCTCACAGGGTCTCTGGACGTCGATGTCACCGCCTCTGTTTGAATGGGTCATACGGGATCTGGGGTTTTGCAGCTTCCCCGGTGGTGCAGAGCACGATTTGCTCCAAAATCTCCCTCTTTGCTTCGGCCCACAGCGCTTGCTTTAGGGTTTAGGGTGTAGGGCTCCAGGGATAAAACAAATCGTCACAGGCCTGGTCCTGGAATGGTCTTTTGGCTCTGTAGGGTCTTCGTGAGAGTAAACCAAAATAAACAGATGCACCTGAACCCACCGGTTAATGGCTAGTATGGGGGACGGAACACTTAGCAACAGTATTCCCCTTGTGGAACAAGTAAATAGGGCCATTTGCCCCAGTCCCTCAATAGGAATCCCTTGAAGAAGGTACCTTAAATGATCTGTTTATTCTTCCTCCAACAAGGACAACCCGAAAACCTGAAGCCCAAAACCCCAAACTATTTACAACCTTGAGGGCGAAGGGTTTAGGGTTTAGGGCCACCGCCCTACAAACCCGATCAACCCGAACTTCTGAAGCCCCTGTAGTAAAACCCTACACCAAAGCCTTAAGGACCCCAAACTTTTTAGGGTTTAGGGTTTAGGGTTTAAGGTTTCAAACCTCAAACAAAACAAAAACGACACTCCTAAACTTTGGGGTTAGGGTTTAGGGTTGAACCCTAAATCCAAAACAACAGCCCCAAGCCCGCACTAGCCCTTTGCTGAAAGCTTCCAAACCGGAGCAGCGCCTCGCGGACGGTATCTTCCACCTGGCCCCTCGAGCAGCCTGGGTGTCGCGTTGGGGGCTCCGTCGTTGCTTTCTTGCTTCAGGGATTTGTGGCGTAGTTTAGGGTTCAGCGGATTTAGGGGGTTAGGGTTTAGGGTTTAGTGCCTCCTTTTCGTGGTTTTTCCAAGGTTTTGCTGGCTCCTTTTGGGCTGTTGGGGCTTAGGGTTGGGCAGTGGTAAAGTGCCAATGTCTAGCGACATCAAGCATCATGTAAGCTCCCGATGAACAACAACTCCCTTCCTTCAGAGCCTCACCCTAAAACTTAAACCCTAAACCCTAAACTCTAAACCCTAAACCCTCTCACAAAGCCTGAACCCCAAGCCCTACAACCTAAACCCGGGACCCTGAGGCCCATCCCAGAACGCTAAACCCCAACCCTCAATCCCTTGGAGTGTTCTACTCATGAGTATAAGTTTAACATGAATCCTAAGAACCCCAAACCCTACTATGCAAGACCCTAAACCCTAAACCCTAAACCCTAAACCCTAAACCCCTAAACCCTACTATGCAAGAGCTCGCACCTCGGTCGTAAAGACAGCAGATGGCGGCCCAAGCGATCCAGAGCAGGCAGAGGAGGCCATACCTCTCAGTTCAGACACAAAGTTTAGGGCTTATGGCTTAGGGGGTTTGGGGTTTGGGGTTTAAGGGTTTAGGGTTTAGGGTTTAGGGTTTGGGGTTTAAGGTATAGGGTTTAGGGTTGGGGTTTAGGGTTTAGGGTTTGGGGCCCTTTCGTCTGCAGGCATGGGGCTGAGGCTTTCGGGATTAGATGGGGACTATGGTAACTTATAAACCCCCCCCCAAAAAAAAAAACAAACGTTATCTACAAAAGCCCGAGCCCTAAACCGTACACTTCCCATGAGGGGTCCTCTCGACTTTTAGAAGTAAGTTCAACTTCTCAGTCTTCTTGGCTTCGATACCTGCAAGCCTTGTAAAGCTCCATGAAGCCTTTTTCAAGCGCTGTGTACGGGCCTGATAAGGGGCTGTACTTTTCAGGCTTTGTTGGATCGCCTGTGGGGTTTAGGGTGTTGGGCTTTGCCTTAGTCTTTTTTTCTGTTTAGGGTTTAGGTGTTTAGGGTTTAGGGTTTCTGTTTGAAGAAGCATCATGAATGGTGAAGGCAACGGTCTACACTCAGCGCTTTGCGAAAGCTCAGCTGCAAGGCAGCATGCAGCCATCGCGAGCATACCTTTGGTCAGACTCCTCACAGAGCCGACATTGTAACAGTAGAAGGAACAAAAGCACCGGCATCAGTGCGAAGGAACGTCGCGGTCACTGCTTGCAACAACGACAACCTCCGCCAACAAAACGAAGCAAGTGTGCTGACTCAAGAGGAAGGGTCCGGAAAGGCGCAGATCTTATTGCCTACGTCCTACCTCCACGAACGACTCCACAGCAAGAGGGCACATTCGGATATAAGCTTTACCTCACGGTTGCGGGCTTGAGGTTTAGTTTAGGGTTTAGTCAGGGTTTCAACACTTTCGACCCGAGGCCAAGCACTGCCCTAAACCCCAAAACCCTAAACCCTAAACCCACTGGTCAGACAAGGCACGCCAGAGCTCTTTCCCAGTAGCCGAGGGCCATAATCGTGCCCAGCCTCAGAACGGCAGCTCTTTCGAGCAGCTCTCGCAAGTCTCCGGTTTCTGGAAGCCCACAAGATCTAAGGACTTTAGGACGGACCCCGAATAGGGACCCTTAATCCCATGACCTTAAATACCCATTGTATAGTCCTTATATACCCCTTATATAGCCAGGTAGTCTCCATATTAAATATTCCCCCAATAACCTACAAGGGTCCCTATTAAGGGTCCCTCCTAAAGCCCTTAGACAAGATACATGCACAGAAGAAGCGATAAGCTGATCGAGCTGTGCGAGTCTGAGGCGCTGCATCTTTAGGAATTTGTTGGCTTTACTTGACAGAGGGTTTAGGGTTTTAGGGTTTAGGGTTTAGGGTTTAGGGTTTAGGGTTAGGTTTCGTGGCATACTATGCCGTATGTACAACCCTACGTAGACCTGCAAACCTTCGCAACCGGGAATCGTGAGGAATACAATCACACATGCTTCAGCCCCCGAAGGAAAGGGGCCTGAATAATTTGAATAGGAGTTTGGGTTGAATTTTACTCTACACACAGTAAGAAACTCTAATGAGCCCTATTCTAGCTGGTAAGGCGCCTGTAGTAGTAGGGGACTGTGACGATTCCAAAAGATTCCAGAAGACGGAGCGTCCCTCATCATTTGAAGCAGGGTTGACATATAGCATAAGTAAATGCGGGGGGGGAAACTCCAAGGAAAAATGGTAATTGTTCACGCCTCTATACTATATAGATAGAATATGGGTTTTGGGGTGTGTGTTTTTTGTAGAACAATAGTGTAGACACATCTTCTGAGGAGGTAGTAGGACCCCTGTTTCATTGCCGCACGCACGCTGAACCTTAACACCACGAACTCTGAGCAGTACAACCCTAGAGCCTGAAAATCCTAAACACCAAAACAAACCCAAAAGCCTAAACCCTGCCCCCCCAAAGACCCCAAAACCCTAAACCCTTATGCCCTTAACCCTTAGCCCCAGAAGCCCTGAACCCTTAGAGAAGAAGTCGAGGGGCGTGACGGCATAGGCCGCCAAGAGAAGCAAAAGCTTCGAGTTCTGGTGCAAACTCGAGAGGCTCCCGCCAAAGAAATGATAGGCGACCTGAACATCGGTAAATAATGGGATATAGGGTTTAGGGTTTAGGGTTTAGGGGTTAGGGTTTAGGGTATAGGGTCTGGGGTTCAAGCGTCTCTGCATTTGCATGCATATATATATATATATATGTGTGTGTATGTTATAAAATAGGGTTTAGGGTGGTTAAGGTGGGGCCAGAGACATGAGTGGGCGAGCTTTAGCAAATCTGAAGATAGGGCCTTGCTCATTGGAATAGGGCTTCGGGTAGATTATGGTACGGCTACATAGCAAGATGTCATATAACACGAAATGAAAGGATAGGCGATCTCAGCACCGAGGCCTCGACAAAATAGAATAAGGTTTTGGGGTTTAGGGTTTAGGGTTTAGGGTTTAGGGATAGAATAAAGTTTTCATGACAGGTCTTTACAGGGTGTTGTTGTGGGGGCTTCATGTACCTGCCAAGAGAGTAAGATAAGTAACCCCAAACACTAAACTTATAAACCCTGAACCCTAAACCCCAAAACCCCCGAACCCCTAAACCCCCTAAACTCTAAACCCCTAAACCCCTAAACCCCTAAACCCCTAAACCCCTAAACCCCCAAACCCCCTAAACCCCTAAAGCCCCTAAACCCTAAACCGCTAGATACCCTAAACCTTAAACCCTAAGAGTGTGATTGTTGAGGGGCTCTGCCGTGACCTCCGGGTTGGTTTGGTCTTTAGCGTCTGTGCTCGAAGCTGCTAGGGTTTGGGGTTTAGGGTTTAGGGTTTAGGGTTTAGGGTTTAGGGTTTAGGGTTTAGGGTTTAGGGTTTAGGGTTCGCTGTTTGCATAACACCGGGACGACCAGGTAACCCTAAACCCCTGAACCCCAAACCCTAAACCCTAAACCCCCAAACCCTGAACCCTAAACCCTAAAACCCCTAAAACCCCAAACCCTAAACCCTAAAACCCCTAAACCCCTAGATGCGCCACCGCTGCATCACGAGCAACCCTTGGGCTATCCGGATTCTGGGGCTGTCTGAAACCTGTTTGGGCTTTTGTCGGGGTTTCGGGTTTAGGGCTCAGGGTTCGTTTTTTTCCTTGGGGGTTGAGGGTTTAGGGTTCGGGCTTTCTTTTGGGGTTTAGGGTTTCGGGTTCGGGCTTTTCGTTGCAGGACATTGGCTGTGTGAAAGCGCGTCGGGCTTATGAAGGGGCCTTAGCGCCCAGAGACTCCAATATCCCTTAATTAAGGAAAATACCTTAAATCATATTAGGGATCCTACTATAATTTAAGGTGTATCCCTTAATTAAGGGATATTGGAGTCTCTGGGTGCTTTGAACGCTTATGTCGCCACGAGGCGGACATGAAGGGGATGAGGATCGCCAAGTAGCCTGAATTGTTTAGGGTTTAGGGGTTTAGGGTTTAGGGTTTAGGGATGAGGATCGCCAAGTAGCCTGAGAGGTGGAGATGGGTTCAGGGTCCAGGACTCAAGGCTGCTGGCTGTTGCAATCCCGTTTTCCGCAGAAAGCTGGTTTTTAGGGTTAGTTTTTTTTTTTTTTAGTTGGGGTTTAGGGTTTAGGGCTTTGGGTTTGTTTTAAGTTGGGGTTTAGGGTTTAGGGTTTAGTCTCCTCAGTAGGTTTGTGCACTGGGGACGTGGCTGAGTGTGATCAGACGGTTAGAGACACTGGGCGCAGCTCACAATAAGCATCAGCTATCAGTCCAGTCGGGCCAGCAACCAACCGAGTAATATAGGGGCCGTAACAATTGGAAGAGGGTTTTGGGTTATATTGTATTATATAACTCTAATAAGGAACTCCCAAAATAGTGTTGGTAAAAAGTTATTTAAGCCCCTACATTATCGCCGAAGCTGTGCTGCCAGCTTTCAACACGGCACCGTCAGCTCTACGACCCTCTGAAGTCAGTTTCGAAGGGGCTAGGGTTGAGGGCTCCCGAACCCCCAACCCTAAACCCTGAAGTGTTTAGGGTTGAGACACGCTGCTGCATCGGCAGTCTGGGTTCCGGTATGGCGCAGGCCTAGCAAGTTTCTCTGCAAAATTTGAAAACCCTAGACCTAAACTCTAAACCCTAAACCGATATCGTAATATTGGGGCCTTAAAAATGTAAATAGGGTTTGGGGTATATTCTACTCTAATCACAATAAGGAACTCCCCAAAAACCCTAGTCTAATTATTCAGGGTTTAGGGTTTAGGGTTTAGGGTTTAGGGTTTAGGCCTAAACCCTAAACCCTAAACCCTAAGCGATGTCGAAAGTCCGAGGAGAATGCCCGAGGCTCGGGCTCCCGCCCATAAAAAAACTGATGCAGGTCGGCTCCGGTATGTAGATCTTGAGGCTTCTTAGGGTTTAGGGTTTTGGGGTTTAGGAAATTTGAGCTCAAAGGGTTTAGGGTTTAGGTATATGGAGCTTAAAGTTTCTTAGGGTTTAGGGTTTAGGTATATGGAGCTTAAGGCTTTGTAGGATTTAGGGTTTGGGGTTTAGGTCTGGTATCTGAAACCCGAAGTCCTGAACCCCGGAGATGGTTAAAGGATCATGGGACTTAGTAACTAAGGTTATTATTAGAGCAACTATACTTATAACTACTTATACCCCCAATTCAGGCACTTATAACCATACCCTAAACCCTAAACCCTAAACCCTATACCCTAAACCCTACAAACCCTTACTTACTAAGTCCCATGATCCTCCAAGTGGTTCTTTGTTGGGCAGGGATTGCGGTTCAGGCTCGGGAGACCAAGTTCGACCGTTCCGAACTCCCCGGTTTTTAGGGTTTAGGGCTTTAGGGTTTAGGGTTTAGGGTTTGGGGTTTTTTTGTTTAGGGTTTAGGGTCTAGGGTTTAGGGCTTACGGTTTAGGGTTTAGGGTCTAGGGTTTTAGGGTTTAGGGTTTAGGGTTTAGGGTTTAGGGTTTAAGGTTGAGGCTTGATGCAGAGGAGACGTGAGCTCCAGAAGTGCAGGCGAAAGGCAGGCTGCAGCCACATCTCCGATCCTTAGAGGCTGCCACAAGAGGTCATCTAAACCCTAAACCCTAAACCCTAAAACCCTAAACCCTAAACCCTAAACCCTAAACCCTAAAACCCTAAACCCTAAACCCTAAACCCTAGGGTTTAGGGGCTGAGATTTGTAGGGTTTAGGTTTTGGGGGTTCTAGGGGCTTCGGGTTGATTTCAGTTCAGGGTTCAGGCCTTAGGGCTTTGGGTTGGGGCTCAGGGCTCAGGGTCTAGGGTTTAGGGGTTTAGGGTTTAGGGTTTAGGGTTTAGGGTTTAGGGTTTAGGGTTTAGGGTTTAGGGTTTAGGGTTTAGGGTTTAGGGGCTGATGAAATTCACATCCTGGTTTCTTTGAATCCTACGCAGCCGGGAAACCCGAAGAATGACAGGCGTTGGATTACTTTCCCGCGTAGATGCCAATGCCAAGCCATCTCTGATTTTGAAGTCATCCGCTACCGAAGACCTGAAACCCGAAACTCCTCCCAATCGCGAACCCCGAAAACCCTAAACCCGTTTAGCCATTGGCGCTTAGGTGTGAGGGCTTAAGCCTTAAGGTTTAGTTTAGGCTTCAGGTTTTAAAGTTGATGGTTTAGGGTTGAGTCCCGAAGCCACGTGCCGAAAGACTGGCTGCAAAGTGCGGGCGGGATTCAACAGACCACAGCCTGCAGCAGCCAACGTTAGGCAGACCTGCTCGAAGATCCAGAGATCCTGGCAAAGGAAAGCCGGGTTGAGGTTTAGAGTTGATTCGGGTAGTTGTCAAAATTATGGTCCCTTTTGGGGTACCCTAAATAATAGGTGCCGTAACGTATTATAATAAGGACCCAAAAAGGGACCATAATTTTGACAACTACCCATGCGAACCCTCAAACCAGAAAGTACCAAGGCTCTACCTCCCCATCCCCAAGAACCCTTTAGCCCGAAATCCTCTTAAACCCCTCATCTTCGACGCGAAGCTTCGTGGACCCCTAGCAGGATTAGGGCTTTGGGGTCTAATGTACTATAATTACATGAAGGACTAATAAGGGACCAGAAACCCTAAACCCAAATCTATACTTTCATGATTCCGACCCCTATAGTAGGCTTCAAACAGGAACTGAGCCCTAAACCGGTCGTTTTGGTGTTAAGGGTTTAGGCCTGCAAAATAGGGCCCTTGATCATCAGAAAAAGGTCATGGGGTCTATTCTACTACAACTTCATCAAAGAAGGGAACCCTGAGGCAGGGTGTTGGTGATGTTGCTTGGGCTTCTTTCTTCTGTCGGGGCTTTCAGAGTTTGTGGCATTTGGAGGGCTGACTGACGGTCTTCTCCTATCTTGCTCCTTTGCTTCCTTGAGCCTTTGGGGAGGAATTTGGGCGATCCTTCTTGGAAGGGGAGTCTCTTCCCTTAGGGATCCTACTCTTTAGGATCTCTATTTTCAAAGGAATCTTTGGCTAGGGCTGTTGTCACGGTTTAGCTTGAAATGATAGAGCATGAATTTGGGACTGCTTGAAAGGTTGTAGGGGCTGGGGTCTAGGGTTCAACAGTTTAGGGGGTGTTTAAAGGGCCCGAATCCTGGTTCCCTGAACCTTAAATCCAGAACGCTAACCCCTAAACCCAAACCCCTAAACCCTAAACCGTGACCCCTAAACCCTAAACCGTCTAACCCGAACCCCTAAACCCTAAACCCTAAACCCTAAACGGTGGTCTATCACGAACCCATGCCTGCTTCCCACAGGCAGCGTGCAGTCGCGGCGTCACGGCCACGCCCCAGATGACCAGGGCAGCGGCGTAGGTGAGGAAGAGGACGGGTTGCAGAACCCGGTGCCTGGTTCGGACTTCAGGCTTGCAAGGAAGGGTGTCGGGTTTAGGATTTAGGGTCGCAGACCCTAAACCCTAAACCCCTAAACCCTAAACCGAAGCTGTGGGCTGAGCTCCTTAGGATTTAAGCTTTGGTGCTCGCTACGGCGCTAAAATTCTCGGAGCCAGGAGTTTTGGGGCGTGGGGTGGTAGGGTTCGGGGTATTTAGGGTTTAGGTATAGAGTTTAGGGCTTGGGGTGAAGGGCTGAAGAATCACGAAGACTAAACCCTAAACCCTAAACCCTAAACCCTTCACGTACACATAGTAATCCTATGGCATCTTCGAAAACCCTGTGCGAAGGCCCCCCTGAACCCCAGAGCTTCCGGGCCCGGACCCGCCCCAGGGCTTAGGTGTTTAGGGTTTAGGGTTTAGGGTTTTAAGGGTTAGGGTTTAGGGTTTAGGGTTTAGGGTTTAGGGTTTAGGGTTCAGGGTTTAGGGCTTTTAATAAAGTGCTGTGGGACTTTCTCTCTGCTGTTTAAGGTTTAGGGTTTAGGGTTTAGGGTTTGGGGTTTTAAGGCTTTGGGTGTAGGGTTTAGGGTTCCAGGGTTTAGGGTTTAGGGTTTAGGGTTCAACTCGACACTTAACCCGAAACCAAGCACCTACACCCCCCAACCCCGCCGAAAAAGAATCGCAGTTATGATCAGAAGAGGAAAAACATTATCATTATCAACCAGAAAAGCAGAAGACCAGCAACAGAGAGAGATAGAGAGACACATACATACATACACACATATACATGTGTACATATATATATATATATATACAAATATGCCGATATGTATATATATATATATATATAATTTATATACATGCCACGCGCAGCTCTGAGAGCCCGACGGTCGAAAGAACTCGTAGAGCCAGAGTCCCCCCAGGAGGGCTAAAGCCATCAAAAACCGCAGCCACCTGAGAAGCAGAGCAGAGCTCAGGCTAGGATTAAGGCTTCAGGGCTTTTGGGTTTTAGGGTTTTAGGGTTTAGGTTTTAGGTTTTAGGTTTTAGGGTTTAGGGTTTAGGGTTTACGGTTTAGGGCTTAGGCTTTCAGGGTCCAGGGTTTAGGGTTTAGGCTTTAGGGTTTAGGCTTTAGGGTTTAGGTTTTAGGGTCCAGGCTTTAGGGTTTAGGTTTTAGGGTCCAGGCTTTAGGGTTTAAGTTTTAGGTTTTAGGGTGTAGGGTTTTTTTTTGAGCACCTTTAGGCTTTAGGGTTTAGCTTTTAGGGTTTAGGTTTTGGGTATAGGTTTTGGGGTTAAGGTGCTGCGGCTTAGGGATCAGGGTGCCCGCGCCATGGGTGTATGAAGGTTTCATGGGGTCGTGTACGGACTCATAAGGCTGCCTCTAACATGTATAGTAAGCTGCTGAGGGTGGTTTGATTTGCCATAGCGCTGTATGATTGCGCTTAGGCGTTGAATTCGTTTGGGTTTGGCATTTAGGGGGGTTAACCCCAAACCCTAAAGCCTAAACCCTAAACCCTAAACCCTTAACCCCAAACCCTCCAAACCACCCCAATCCCCAAGAGACCTCAGGCACCCACAATGCCAAGGGGCCAGAGTTCGGCCGTCAGGCACCACCAGTCCCTGCATCTCTCGTCAGGAGTCCGGCTTTAAGGTTTGGGGCTTCTTTTCGCGTTTAAGGTTTAGGTTTAGGGTTTAGGGTTTAGGGTTTCGGGGTTCAGGGTTTCGGGGTTCAGGGTTTAGGGTTTAGGGTTTCTTTTCGGGTTTGTTCAAGTCTACGCGTGAGGACTTAGGCCGCCAGCAGTACAATTTGCAACTCAACGCCGCGAAGTGGCGACAGAGCTTCCGCAACAGGGACCCCTAATCATATCAGGAAACCCTAAACCCTAAACCCTAAACGCTAAACCCTAAATCAGGACCCCAAATGGCAAGGAGGACCCTACGAGTAGTTCGAGAAACCCACTCGTTGCGGCAGCAAGGGTGCTAGGGTTTGAGGGTTTAGGGTTCATGGACGAGGCGCAAAGAGGACAGGAGGCACGCGCAAGAGCCCAGAATCACCAGCACCTCCACAGCCTTGGCAGCCATGCAAGACAACCATCTCAAGAGAAGCTTCAACAGGTGGGGATACCACTGCTAATCATGAAGTCCCAAGAATACCCAAATTCCCACAGAGTACTCCGACCTCCCATTCCCTCGACTTCCAAACCCTCTAGCCCGAATCTGGAGCGAGGCGTCTCTTTAGGGTTTTTTGGGGCCCCCTTGCCTTCACAAGGATTCTGAAAGGATCCGACTACTCAGGCCCCTAAACGCTGCGACTCTTTATGAGAGGTCGGTGGTCAAGATGCTTTGCGGAAGCTTTGGGCCCTTAGCCCTAACTGCCATACTAACATCGGAAAGTCCCAAAACCCATGGACCCTAAACCCCAAAGCTTCTAAACCTGGTGGAAATCTTCTAAGGACCTAGAAACCCTTATGGACCCCTTATGGAGTACCCACTGTGAACCCCAAAGAACCCTTGTAGAACCTTACAGTTACTCTGTTCTTCAACAACCAGGCCCAAAAAAGTTCAAACTTTTTCGGATAGACCTAATATATAAAGCCAAAAAGTTTAAAGTTCTCCCATTGGCTATCTAAGGTTATGAAGAGCCGGGAAACGGCACGAATCGACCGGCCAGGCATTCGAGAGCCTGGGGGGCCTGGAGAGCGACTAAATGGAGGGGTTCAGGGTTCGGGTTGAGGATGTTTAGGGTTTAGGGTTTAGGGTTTAGGGTTTAGGATGTGGGGTTTGGGGCTTGCTTTGTTTTAACAAAGCTGTCTAGGCCACTGCAAAATACAGCCGCTAAAATCTAGGAAGCGAAAAATGCCAGAAACTTCAGAACTTGTGTTTGCTCATATGCACACACACAC